CCGAGCAGTGGTAGAACAGACCCTTCACACAGCACAGGCAGGTGCTATACTCCAAGACGTTTTCTGCAGAACACAAGCAGCGCTGGCCACAGGTCCAACAGGAGGGCAAATTACGAGGGGCACAGCACTCCTGGCACTTGCAGTGGCCACAACGTTCACAGATGAAGAGATGAAGGCCCAAGTCCTCACCGTCAGCCAGTCCTTTGCCCAGCGACTCGGGTTTCATGTCACCTTTGGGCTGGGACCTCACTACAGCTGCTAGACCAGAATGGGAAGGCGTTAATCCAGTAAGAAGTCTCTGATCTGAAGCAGCACTGCCACGGGACATGGAGCTCACGGTACTGGAGCGACTTACGTGGGCCAAATGGGAATGTTGGTGCTGACTTTGACTGCCAGACATCTGAGAGTGTCGTTCATCGTGTGTATAGATGACACCAACCTGAGAGGCAGGCTCCATTGCCACAGGGCGTTCCACATAGTCATTATTAGCCCTTATAGCACGGATCTGGTCAATAGACAACACAGGGACCTGCTGAAGATCCAGGCTTTCAGGGTCCATCCGAAAAGGTGGTACTGGATCCATTCTTTTTGGGCCACCAGGGTAGGGTCTGAGCTGCAAGGCTGACCAATATCACGGTACATCGGATAAACCTGTAGTAAGAAAAGAATAAAGGCATCATTGTTAGATTCAGAATCAAATGAAATAGTTCAAGTTTAAATTCAGTCTGCATAATGTGTAGTTATTGAACAAATGTTCTTATGAATCCTTTTACTCCTTTCAGATGGTCCATGGCTAAAGCTACGGTTATTATTAGACACAGAGGATGGAGAGATAATGCCATTGACATCACACTGTAATTTAGCATCTGGAGAACACAGCTGTTGACACAAGGGAATGGAACCAGAGCAGTGAATTGTGAGAAACTGGGGAACCCAAAGACTTAGTGTCAGTGTCATGAGGTATCTCTTCCTCAGCAGGAGGAATTTGCAGTAGCCCCTCCCTGCAGCCCTTCTTTTGTTAAGCCTTATCCTCCATAAACAGGAACAACATGGCTATTGGAATGTGCATGGAACAAATCAGCATCCTGGAACTGAGAAACATGCTACTTGCATTATTGGTTGTCATAGCCAAACAAGGCCTTGGATTGCACTGGATTAGATAACAATTGGTTTTGCTTTCTTCCATCGAGAAATGTACAGATGTAGAGAAGACCACTTTGTGATGTTTGTCAGACTCTCAGACAGTTTCAAAAGTCAGTGTGTGATAAGGATAAATGCAAACATTTTAGGCAGCCTATGAAGAGATTGGACAAGAAAAGAGAACTGGCTCTGACATAACAAGCAATTGTGATCCAAACACAACAGCAGTGATTAGAAGAAGTAGTGTCTGATCCCAGTCCCCAGCTGAATTCCTGGCAAGAGCCCTGAATCCTGAATGCTCTCGCAAAAAAAGGTAAGATAGCACGCACCCCCCCATGCCAGAAACTCAAGATAAGGAGG